GGCCGGGTCGCATTCCCGATTCCTTTGGATCCGCAAGCCGCGTTCTCTCAAGGATAAGCGCGAAACGGTCCGCGAGATTTAACCCGCAAAGTTTCGGGACTTAGACGAAGCTCCTCGCGCGATTACTATTCGAATCGCTGCATGCGTTTTCGTCGCGGCTCCGTAATTGCGGGGTGCCCGATTATCCTGGTCAGCGATTTCTCGACGAGGCTCGTGTCTTTCGAGGTCCTCCGACTAGGTCCTAGACGATCCGGAACAGCGCTGGCAGGTTCAGGATAATTTTCGAGCTTTCAGCAAGGTTCAGAAGTATAAGTGTTGGCGGTCTTGAGAAAATTCTAAACAGCATACAAAGATCGTGCACCTTCTGAGAAGGTTACAAAAATTCTAAGAACAATTTCAGAGTTTCTAACACCGCACTGGATGCATTAGAAAAGTGCTGGACAAAACAAAAAATATTGCGGGGCACTCGAAAAGATTGTAAAAGTTCTAAACAGGTGCTAAAATTGCCGAAACCTCGACAAATAATCCGTCCAAGTCCTCGTTCGAGATGTAATCCTGTTTCTCCACGTCCTAAAGTCTCAGCCATTCGTCCACCCCTCCCAGCCCTCCCGGACGGCCAATCCTGTTTTCCTAGGTCTTAGAATGTTTCCACAGGTGATTTCTGAACCCGTTCCCACCGTTTTCCCTAACCACGCCGGAGATTAATCCTCGCCCCGTCGAGACTTTTCCCGCGCCGTTCTCCGAGCTAGACGTTGTCAAAGGATCGATGATGAAAATCCCGGCGACTTTGCCGCAACAATTTGGTCGGGTGGCTGGAGGTATCAGCGCATCCACGACACCGTATCGCGCTTGCAGCGTTAAAAGGAGGAGACAAAAGGCAGCCCGCGTGCTCGTTCCATAAAGGGATTAAGAGATTTACAGATACAAAGGCATTGTGCCCGCATCGGTTGCATCGAATATAACGCGAAGCGAACAGACACGCGGCCGTATCTCGCGGCAAAACCATTGTAATAATCTCTGATTTATGCTCCCGGGAGCCGACGCAACGTTCGCCACAGAGATCCGAAACCCTGAAACCCTGGTTTCACCGACTGCACACGGCCCTTTGTTCCTCGGTTCCGGCGTTCGACCGCTTCGCCGTGCCAGCGCGTCTTCGACAAAAGAGCTTCGACTGCGATTCCAGTCTCTGGCCGACTGCGATCGTTAACCGTTAACCCTTTCACGGTTCGCGGAAAAGAACCGGACAAGATGTAACGTTGCTGGCTTTCCTCTGCGACCTGCCTCGTGCTACAGAGACACAGAAACATTGTTTTCTCTCGTCGTCGATATTTAAACTTTCGAGCAAATGTTGGCACACAACAATTATCCAACGCACTGTTTCTTGCAAGAATCGATTGCAATCGAGGAAGCTCTAATAATTATTCTACCAGTGATCGGATTGCGGGCGACGCGTCGTTCGACGCTATCGATGGAAAATTCGCAACAGGTGCAATTTTACGGAAACAAGTTCGGAGAGCCGCCGAGAATCAAATTCTTTTTGTCCGGCCAAGAGGCGTCGAGTACGATCGAACCGTAAAGTTGTTAGCATCCGGATCTGCGAGTAAATTGCCGGATTACCGCGCGAATGTCTCGACGGTGGAACGACGGTGCGCTTAGATTCTTCTTCCGACGTTCGCGCGTTTCTCGTATAAAATCCGTCGCGTTGCGTTGCGTCGCGCCGACTACGACGAGCAAACGAAAGGTAATGGGAAGCGAGTTTCCAGTTTACGGACGAACACTCCGAGTCTCGAGATGCATTAATTAATGGCGTCGAGTGCGACACGACGAATCGCTCGTTTCCGCGCGGGGTTGTTGCTCGCCGTCGCGGAGCGGCTCGACGCGGCATCGCGACGCTCGCATATTTCCAATTATCAAATAGGAAGCGCGCAACGAAATCAATTTCAGGTTTAATGAAATTCCAGAGCCTCGCGGATCGAATGCCGGGGCTGCACGCTGCGAATAGCAGCTCCGGGGAGAGCTCTTATTAAAAATATCAACCTTTTTCTTCTCTCGCTCTTCGACTCCCCCCCCTCTCTCTCTCTCGCTCTTCGGCTCTCTCTGTCTCTGTCTCTCTCTCTCTCGCACGTTCCCTCTTCCTCTCTGCGGGCGTGCGCCCGTCTTCGTCGCGACGCTCGTTTTCTTTAATCTCGACGGCGGATTCGCTGGTTGTCCGCGAGGAAGCTGGTTAAAATATTCATGCCACGATCGTAAGTTAATTCGTCCCTCTGGTCGGTGACACGGACGTTTAAGCGGCCCGGGTAGATATTAACGGAGAAATATTCAAACGACGTTAATGCAGTCGGCGCGCGCTAATTCGTGCCGCGATGCGACGGCTCGTGAAACTTCCGGAAATTATCGCTTCTGCCAGGCCCTCGATGCCGCGGCGACGACTCGATCGATCCCTGGAGAAATAACCCGATCCTCCGTCGTCCCTGGACCCCGTAAAATTAGTCCGCAGGATCGTTTTATGTCCCGTTTCTGCGCCACGCGCGGAACCCTAACGAGCAATCGCGAACGTGAAATTCTGCGAAACCTTTTGTATTCTTCTTTGCAATTTGTGGGTTTCGATGTTTAACCTCGGTTCGGATGTTGCTCGCTGCGCTATCGTTTTTTGGGTCGATTCGATGATATCGTTTAATAGCTGCTGTTTCGAAGTGTCTTCGTTTTTCGGAGGATTTGAGAGTTGTTCGCGATCAAGAAATATTTGCGCGCCGAGTTCCTGAAAGATTCAGCGAACGTTGGAATTAATTCGAAAATGAGGTAGGGGAGGACCGATAACGATCGAAACAATCGAATATTCATCGGTTTCCGATAACGACGGGCCACCGTATTCCCGAGAACAATCAACCGTTTAATCAATCGGCTTATCGCAGTTTTCAATTTACGGAGCCGCGAATAGAGAACCGGCGCATACACTGTTCTCAACGAATGCAACCGTGATTCAAACGGCTCCCTTCCTAACGTCGCGTATTACCATTTTAATCCCTGGTCCATGTGTCGTTTAATTCTCGCAATTCTTGGGCTTTAATTCGAGCGCACGGAAGCTACGAGAACAGATTGCAAAAGCAGTTTGAAGCAACCCTTGGTTGCATCCCCAACGTTCGGCATTTGTTAGTATTATATTTCCAAACGATCTCGAATATTTCTACGAAACCAAAATATACCTATCGTAAAGCGCGTTCTTCCAGCTTCAATTCGAGTACCGGAAGATTCACGAATAACCGTGGAAAAGCGTTCTAAAAAAACGCTTCGAAGTAACCCCTTAAAATCCAGTCGTTTCAATTTTCGACAGGATTTCGAATTTTTCCTACAAACCTAAACGAATGCGCCATGATCCAGCTTTCACCCTCCGATGTAACCGGCAACAATGCGTTTGTCGAACTCCATGGCCAGCCATTTTCCCAAATCCCTTGCCCGGGCAAAATGGTTTCGCGAGGCTCGCGTCGACGCGACTGAAACGGTTCGAATAGATCTTGGAGGTATCGACTTCTCGAGAACGATTATCAGGAGGATCGAGCCGATCGAATTTCGTCGGAGGATTTCCGGGATTTTTCGCGAACCGACAGCGACACGACGGCGGCACGGAGACCCAGGACCGGGATCCAGCGTAAATCTGGGAACACGTGTTGCTGGACGCGCGAGGCGTTGTGTCGCGCGCGTCAGCTGGGCGCAATTACCGTAGCCCGTTCGGCAACGAATTAATTCGTGTGTCGGCAGCATTACTCGTCGCAGCGTTTACCCTCGCCAAGGCCAATCCGAGCGACCGCGATTAAACTCGAATTACAATTTCGATCTGTTCGAGCTCGTCCGGGAAGATCGATTGATCCGCGCGACTCGACGGAACTCAAATTTTCCTCCGAAAAAGGTTCCCGAAAAACGATGAGACGAATATCGATTCGATCGCGAATGGGCACGTGTTTTCGGACTTGGACTAAATTACTCTAGAAAATTAGCCCGGCGATGTTCGAACGCCGATCACAAGAGATCGTCGAACTTTCAATTGTCTTAAACCGGCGCAGAAAAAAGTTCCGAAACGCTCCGCCTAAACTCGTCTTAAGCAACCACGTGTCTCCAATCTAGTTTCGCTAAACAGGAATTCCTCCGCATTGCCCGAAAATTCTACAAGGTGTTCAGGAAAAGCTGCGCGAGATGCCGAGCGAGACGAGATCGCAATCGGAAAATTTCGCCGCAGCTTCCGCGAGAGCGTTTCAGGCATTTTCGCGAGAAAGCTTGTGTTCATGGTTCTTTCCGGAATTTCTGAAATACACGGAGCTTATTACGGGACACCCCGTGCATTCAGCGATCATATTATGCGGCGCAATCAGCGCGACCGTACTTCGATCGTGGCATGCAATTTTGTACGTGCTCGTTCGACGATTCGAAGTGGAAACCTCCTCCTCTCCCCCGCCCCCTCTCTCTATCACTCTCTCACTCTATCTCTCTCTCTCTTTTTCTCTGGCGAAGCGAACGATCGATCAATCGCGTGCTCGACGAATCTAGCCGATTCCCAGCGCTACGCTCTCGAGGTTGGGAGGATTCTTTCCGCGGGAACGATTTTCAATTCGACCAGAGAGCTCCGGAGCTTCGCCTATCCTGCCTCGTTCCTTCGAATCGAAATGTTTCTCGTCACCGGTGCGACTCTCTCGCGAGTAAGAAACTCTCGAGGGCCCCCGATTTTCCGGGGGAACGCAAACCACGGCGAAAATCTCGGGACGAGCCTCGATCGGCTGTGCAACTGCGGATTTCGGACCTCGATCCGAATTATAATTTATAATAATTATATTATTATCCTCCGTACAAGAGGGAACTACAAATTTCGCTAACTCGACGAGACGAACGCCAACGATTTCTCAATGACGATTTTTGTCGATTTTAGTGGGGCATTTTTTGGCAAGGTCAGATCGAACGATAAGAGGGAGTTTCGTTGCAAGGATAATCTTTTGCACAGCGACTCTTCTTACCTGGTGGCTTCCTGCAGCAACAGGTGAGGCGGCACCCAAAACTTCACCCTTAACGCGAACCTCAGGGGTGCCACGCCGCCCCCCGTCTGCCTCTCTATGGGATTCCTCAGGTTCAGCCATAACTCCTCGCCCTTCGCGTTCTGGTACTTCAGCCCGAAGTAGTCGCACTCCTTGCTGATGCCCAAACAGTCGCACGCCTGCAAACGAAACCGTTTGTTAGATCGATTTTCTAGATCGTACATATTTTCTAGATCGTACGTATACTCATATTAGAGATTTGGGATTAACATCGAATTCATTTCGGATTAATTTCGATACGCAAATTTTGTAAAAGCTTTGTCCTCGCCGGCGAGAGGTCCCCGGTTTCCCTGAAGTTCGCTTCGATGTCGCAGTTTGTCTCGAGGGGTGATTTGTTCGCGATTCGAGCGTGGTAAAAAACACGCGCGCGTGTGTATTTTGCGAGAGGGAACGACGAAGAGAAAAAGAGAAAACGAGGGAACCGTGTCCCCGTACAATGAACCGTTTACCGTAACGCCGGATCCGATTAATACCCTCGGAAACCGCAGACTGATTCGCGGGAAAACGGGAAAACAGCTGCCGCGGTCGAGCAAAGCGTGTAACAAATGGCTAGTAATAATTTGGAAAGTTAGCTCTCGGGGTCCCCGTGGCACGACAGGAGACCTCCGAACACTGTGCAACCATTACCGCGCGCCGAGTATAGCTGCGCTCTTTCCCTCCCCAGGGGGAACGCGGGAAAATATGCTTTCCTCGCTCGATACGCGCGTGTATGCGTCAACGGTGCGCCAACTTCCTCGCGAGGAACTTATTCGATCTCGAAAAAGTTCCAACAATTACGGCGTGACAAACTTTCGTCCACCTATTGCGTAAAATGCTTTGTGGCTCTGCTTATGCATTTTCTGTAAAAAAAAGAAAGAAGAAGAAGAGGGGACGATTATATAGCAGAGACCCTCAACAGTAATCGCCGACGATTGTTAAAGCTGTTCGCAATATTGTTCGGTAATCGACAATCGGCATAGACATCTAGTCATTTTTATTATTATATAATTAGTGCTCGAATGACGCAATTTATTCGCAATCACTTCCTACGAAAATGTCTTTGTACTTAGAACAATCTCCAGAGAAAAGAATGCGGAACGCCGGATCAGTTCACGGAATGTCACAGAGATAGAAATATTAGCATGTCAAAGGTTTAATCGAGCCGCCTCTTCTAGCCTGTTCAAGGAGGCGACTCGGTGCACGCGAACGAATTGCACTGCGATTAAAGCTCGACGTTTAACAGGCCCTGGTTGCGATCGCTAGAAATTCGCGGTATCGTGAAACGGATCAGCGAGAAATTCGGTAGAAAAGCGAAGCATTTTCCGAAGCAGAAACGATAGTTGTCGGCGAGAAAACGATGGGTAAAGAGAGGATAAATTCGAGACGAGACGCGTGCTGGTTTTCTTCTCGAGGTAGCCGAAGGAAGGGTAAACATTTTTCCAGACGGCGAAACGGTTCGTGCGAACCGCGGTCTCCGATTTATCGACGCCGCGGCGCGAATTTGCGAGTCCGAGCAGTTCGAAACAATAAGTTGGAGGACCGGTTTGAATTTACAGCTGGATGGGCGGTCGGTCGAACGAGATCGTTACGTTTCCCGTTCGCTGGCTGGTATTCGGGGAAAGAAGACGGAAAGTCGGTCACCCGCGCCGCGCGATAAGGGAAATTCGCCGAGGAGAACGAACGCGGACGACGCCGGTGCCGCGATTTTTCCGCTCAGGAAAGAACCGGACGCGTACAGAATCGCGAACGATCCATTTGCAAACAGTGTGGCGGCCGTGATTCGAAGCGTAGTCGATAGCTACGCTGGCAGATGCGTCGGCTTTTCGAATACCGTTGCGAATGAAAGTGGATCTATTTGGAAATTCGATCTTTCAGCTTCGATTCGAGCAGTTGTAAAATTCCTGCGGGAGTCCATTTTCAAATTGCTTCGAAATAAACCCTTTAAAACGGAGCACCGCCGCGAGCCGTTTGATTTATCGATGCTCCAAATCGGTTCAAATTTTCTTCGAAATTGAAACGAACCTGCCACAAAGCCCGGTCCGCCGGGTTTAATACCAAAAGTTGGAAAACTCCCTCGGGAAAGTACCGTAAAATTGATTCAAAGAAAGCCCCCTTAAAATCGGATCACGTAGCCGAAAGCTGTCGGTCGAGATTGATCAATTTTTCGACGGGACTGCGGACACAATGTATATACTCTCCTTCAGAATTTTCTGTCGTAACGAAAAATAGATAAACGGGAGTGTCGAGTTATCGAAGCCGCGAATAATACGAAGTTAAAAAGGTTTCTCCACTCCGCGAAATCTCAAGTTACGTCTTGTTTCCTATGTAGAATTCGCGATCGCAAATCCATTTTTCGCGTGTTTCCGCTCGACGCGAACGCGTTGCGCCCGGGGCTGCCGACTCTCGCATTACAAGCGGACCTTCTTTTTAATTTGTTGCGGATCTCCCGTGATTCGCCGTGCAAAGCGCGCTCCGATCGCTCGAATTTTCACGCGCGCGCGCACGCTAGAGAGAGAGAGAGAGAGAGAGAGAGAGAGAGAGAGAGAGAGAGAGAGGAATATCGCGCAATATCCGAGCGAACCAGGTCACAAAGGTTTCATCAATGTTTCAAAGGCTCGGTTAGATCGGCGCGTGGCCGGAGAATCGCCGAAACCGTTCGGAACGTTCTTACACGCGCACTCGTCTATCCGATCAACCTGCATTTTTCCATCGGAACGACATCCTATCGGTCGGAAGTGGAGCGTAACTGCATGGACGATACGAACAGCCTGTTTCTGGGTCCGTTACGAAACCGTTTCAAGCTCTACATACTGCGACGAGGCGCATCGGTAAACAAATGCACGTGGTGAACCCTGCGGAGCCTTGCACGCGGATGCGAATCGATCCTAAAGCGTCACTATCCTCGTCTAAATAAATGCGAATTCCGCGTCGCAGAAAATTACACGAACCGTTCACACCGTTCACAGATCGCTCAAAGCCGTCGAAATTCTGCAGACTCTTGCATAGAGCACGATCGATGCAATTGATTGAATCCGAGCACGTCTAATTATACTAAAAATGACGGGAAAATTGAACAAAAGCGCCTACCTGTCCGAGAGTTAACAAAGGTAGCTCGACGTGGCCCGTTGTTTACCTGCTCCGACTCGTCTCGTTGGAAGGACGTACGTAGACTGACGAGGATTCCGCGGGTAACGCAATCGCAATGAAATTTGGGGTGGGGAAGTATATAGTGCGTAATCATTCGAACGTTCCCCTAAACGATTTTTTGCTCGCTTCGTCACGCCTCTGACGTAGGAGCCAACGGTAATCGTTGTATTTATCGAACAATGCCTGCTACTGCGAATAACTTGCTACCGTGTAATTACGTCGTTCGTAGAATCGCTAACATTGTCGCGTGTCAACGTTGCACTACCGACACTGACCCCTGACTGCAGCATTGCAGCCGCGACTGCATACATAGTTTTTTCCGGAAATGCCAAATTTCGGGTTGCTCCGAATTTCGCTGTGCTAATCCTACTATACTGCGTAATTTATTGCTGCGTCATGCTAAGGGTCAACGGAGTCGTCGAGGGTGCGATGGGTGACGCGACGCGATTTCCCGGAAAACAAGGCAAAATCATCTGTTTGGGTGGGAGTCGGGTGAGAAAAACCGCGCAGCTACAAGGTAATGCGTATGTCATCTTCGTTTGCCGTCGGATCGCGGCAATCATCGCTTTTATTCCAGCATCGCTATTTATTCATATTTATGTAGATCGGCATGCTACCGCTCGCTTTTTCTGTCGAGTTTTTATAAAAATGAGTCGCGAGGCACGATGTGTCAATTGTCTTTGGCGATTACCGTTTACTAGCTCCGGGCCTTCCAGGGACAATTAATTATTGCACTCGGCTTGCCATTTTGCTGCAATTCATTGACGGATCTGCTTCGGCTACTGTTGAAAAAGAAACTTTAACCTCGGACACAAAAATTAATCTATAGTTTACTTAGGACTGAGATTCGAAAATATCAGATTACGTTTCCACTGGTTCCGTCAGCGCGCACCGACGGTGATGTAAACTGTATATCGTGGTCTGATTGGTGGAGAAAACCACACCGAAAAGGGTATATAAGCAGGCGATTTTCAGTCGCCGCTCTCTCAGTCGAATTTGGTCGCTCAGTCAGTTCGTACATGTACCTTCTCTCAAATAAAAGTAAAAATAAAACTTTTAAGAAAAGGAATTAATATCGTATTCATTTGAGAAATAATCCAAGCCATAATCCCAATAGCTACTGAATCCTCCGAAATCCGCTGTTCTTCCATTGCGACGAATATGTTAATCCCTAACGATTCGTACGGAGACAAGATGCGTCGACGAAGATAAACGTTAGCGCTGGATAGACGGAGAAGGCGCGAATGTATCGTGTTCGGTGTATGGTTTTGTTCCCAATTAGCAAAGCATTGAACAATTTCTGCAGAATCATTTCCTATGAAGTGGAAATGATGGAAACATCGAAGCACGAAATCAGTGCAGTGGGTGATTATTTAAGAAGGTCCGAGTAAAAAAGCTTCGGTAACGAAACGGAGAGACCGCGAGGAAGAGAGAGAGAGTCAAAGAGATATAGGGAGGAAGGGAAAGGGAGAAAAAAAAGAGAGAGAGAAAGGAGAAAATTTCGCGCGAAAACAGCACGAATTTGGAGCGGCTTTGCTCCGGGGCAGTCTGTGTGTACGGAAGCTTTTGGCTGGCAACGTAATCGGAANAAAATATCAGATTACGTTTCCACTGGTTCCGTCAGCGCGCACCGACGGTGATGTAAACTGTATATCGTGGTCTGATTGGTGGAGAAAACCACACCGAAAAGGGTATATAAGCAGGCGATTTTCAGTCGCCGCTCTCTCAGTCGAATTTGGTCGCTCAGTCAGTTCGTACATGTACCTTCTCTCAAATAAAAGTAAAAATAAAACTTTTAAGAAAAGGAATTAATATCGTATTCATTTGAGAAATAATCCAAGCCATAATCCCAATAGCTACTGAATCCTCCGAAATCCGCTGTTCTTCCATTGCGACGAATATGTTAATCCCTAACGATTCGTACGGAGACAAGATGCGTCGACGAAGATAAACGTTAGCGCTGGATAGACGGAGAAGGCGCGAATGTATCGTG